AGCAGCCAAATTCAGCTCTCAAAGATGTTACTGGAGAAAGGAAGGGCCAGATGAGATTTCCAGCTCTACAAAGTTGTCATGGAGTTTTTGGGCACACAAGATGCCTTAAGATGGAACAATTCCTAAGAACTTAATTAGAGCCCAAAATCTTCTGTACAGCAAAACATCTGCTCAGAGATCCCATTTTTATTCCTCTCTAACATACTTCACATATTAGAGTTCAAAAAACAACAAGTGACACAGAATTTGTTTGCAAAGATAAATTAATCATGTAGAAATCAAAAAACCCAATGGAAGCACAAGGCAGGATGGCTAAGCAATCATACCTGTCACCACAGGTACTCACACTCACCTTGGCAACCCCAACCCCGGTGAACCTGGCCTCCAGGAGCTCCTGCCTGCGTGGGTCCAGGCTATGCAATTCTTCCATCATTTCTGCTGCTATGGAAGAATAACACTCAGATTATGAAATGCAAGGAAAGGAGAGAGACATTTAGTATTCCGTGCCACTGACGAAACTTAAGAGTGCCTATTCTGCAGCACAACCATGCAGAGAGCATTTTCTTGCAAGAGAAATGCAAGATTACCATGTAGTAACAACATGACTTTGCCACCATATTATAGTATTTAAACCATAACCCTGCTGGAGTTTCCTCTCCTCTGTTGTACCAGCCATTTCAAGATCTCTAAATCCAAGAAACAAATTATGACACATTTTCCCACTGGATGCTTTATTAAAATGAAAACATGGGACCAGAGTGTTATGACTAAAAGCTTCAGAGCTTTTCATCTGTGCTGCATGACTAGAAGAAAAAAAAGCAACATTCTTTACCCCATAATTTATTTTTGGCCAATCCTGGAAATACTCAAGCTCCATGAACTCCAGATTTCACTGATAACAGCTTTGCTTCTTCTGAGCACAGAATGGGATTATAAGAAGAAAACAGCACACAATTAAACCTCTTAATTTACAAGGTAAAGCATCAGATACTTCTGAAATAGCAGCTTTTACACCCAGGAGGTACCTGGGGTACCTCTTGGCAACCCAACACTATGGGTGGCCTTATTTGAAGGGTTAAAAATCTACCCTGCATAACTGTGTAAACAGGTTAAAAATCAGGAAATACATAATTCAAATCCTGAACTGAGAAAAAAATGGGACAAAATTCACCGTTCATTACAACTGTGAATCACATCTTCCCAACTGCACCAATCAAGTTCATTTCCAGAAATGTCTGTTCCAGTTCCATTTTCTGGACTCAGGTAGAAAAAAAATAAAAAGGCCAGAAACAGAAGATAAAGATTTGCTGTGTAAAGAGCATATGCGATGAGGAAAGTTCTTGAAGGGCAGCAAGTGCCCTCTAGAACAGGCAGTGCACAATTGTTCCTTTTATGAACTGTCCATTTTGTCCCTGCTGCTTCCTCCAAACGCCGCGGCTCCAAATCACAGGGGCAAAGTGAATCCATCCGGGGGCATTCTCAACTGCTCTCCCAAATCAGTCCCAACCTTCAAAAACTAATGGGATCCTAAAAGTGGTTATTAAACAACCATATTTCTGCCACGGGCTCTAAAAGCCCAACAAAGCTCTCAGCCCAGTTTTCAAAACAGGAAATCTGAGTAGCGAGGAAAATGACAGACAAGCTGCAAACGCCAAGATGTTCAAACGCTCCCAGGGCTCTCGTCCATCATGGGGCGACCATCCGCAGGGAATCGCATCCCCACACCGGGATGCTGCTCTGGGGAAGGGGCTGACACAAGTTCCCCCCGCCGGGGGCTGCTCCGGGACCCGCTGCATCCCTCCAGGCAGGGCTAGCATTCCCTCCTGTCCTCCTGGGAGGGGATTTCCAACACCCCTCTCCTACCCACTCGGGACGCAGACGCAGCAGCCGCCAAGCAAGCAGCCTTGCCCCGCTGCCAGCTGCTGCACCGCCTCGGCCTCTTCCTCCTCCCCTCCAGCACCGCCTCAGCCCTCATCCCGAGGCTTCGCAGGCCAAGCCCCTCCGCCGCCCCCAGCTCTCACCCCCGCCCGCCAGGCCGGGCCGGGCCGGGCCGCGGGGCCTGCGCTGCTCCGTGCCCGGCGAGGGGCCCAGGCCGCGCTGCCGCCGCCCTGGCTCTCAGGCCGCGGCCCTGTAACCGTGACCCGGCCCGCGGTACCAGCCCCCGCCACCGCCTTCCCCGTGGCCGCCCCCACCCACTCTCGGGCCGGGCGGGGACGAGGCGAGAGGTGTCCCCACGCTGCCCCCACCGCCCCTGGGGGTCTCACCTGGCGCTGCCGCTCCTGCCGCCGCCGCCCGGCCCAGCGCTCCCCGGGCACCGCGCGGATCCCGCCGCCGCCGGGGGCAGGAGCAGCAGCAGGAGGAGGAGGGAGGGAGGGAACCTGCTGCGGCGGCGGCGGCACGGGCGGGAAGAGGAGGCCGGGGGCGGCTCCGCGGCTTGAACCGCGGGCACTGAGGCTGAGAAGGGCGGAGGGGAAGGGTGGCGAGGGGTGGAGAGGGAAGGCTCCGGACTGGGGGTAGGCCGCGGATCCCCGGCCTCGCGTGAGGGGCCTGGCCGGGCCGGAGCGCGCGCGGGCCGGCGGCGGCAGGACAAAGGCCTCGCGGAAAGACCCGGCGGCCAGGTGGGGCGTGCGGACGGGGCGGGGGGTGCACGGGGCCGGCGGGCGCGGTGGGGCCGGGGCAGGTGCGGCCCCTCGTCCCTCCCGCCCCGCGGCGCTGGGCCCGGCCCGGCCGATGGGGGCACACGCGCTGGGGAAACCGCGCCGCGTCTCGCGAGACTTGCGCGGCGGGAGGGGGGAGGGGGGTCAGAGGGGGCGTGGCTTCAATGGGGTGGGGCCTGAGGGGGCGGAGGGAGGGGCGGGGGCGGCAGGTGGGGGGGGTCAGTGGGGCCGGGGGGTCAGGGCAGGGGGAATGGGCGGGGGTCACACAGGGCAGGGGGGCAGCAGGGATCAGAGTTCTACGGGATCCGGGGTGGGGCTTGGCCCTCATTTGGACCTGCGGCTCAGGGCAGGTCTGAGGGGGCATGGCAGGTGTCACACAGGTCTGGGGGAGCAGCAAGGGCTAAGAGGGACCATGGGGTTACGGGATTCGGAGGGGCTGAAGGGGCAGCAGGCTCAAGGGCAGTTCAGATCTAGCTCTGGGATGGGGACAGGCCTGGGGGGCACTGGGGAGTAATACACGTGTGGGCAGGAAGCAGAGGTTCAGTGTCCGTGGGCTCGGCGGGACTTGGGTGGTAGGCACAAGGTGGGGTCAGAAGGGCCTAGGGGTCAGGGCAGGCCTGGGGGCCGCAGGACGGATGGAGGGTGATTGTGAGACAGGGCTGAGGGGCAACACAATGTCAAGGTGAACTATGGGGTCATGGAGGGATGTGGGGGCAGGCACAATGCAGGGCTTGGATCCAGCCTTGGGGTGAGGTCAGGGCTGAGGGCCAGCAAGGTGGGGCAGGGGGTGATCACAGATGGTGGGGCAGCAAGGGGCAGGGGGCAGAGGGTGCTGGGGCATGACAGGCACAGGGAGAGGGTCAGATCCAGCCAGGGCCTGGGAGTGGGGCAGGGCAGGCCTAGGGACATGCTACCACCAGGGTAGAAAAGGTTGACCTACCCCCTGTCCCAGGATGCCCCAGAGAGGGGGTGCATGTATGACATTCCACCCCCCAGTTCTTCACCTCCTCTCCAGTCTCCATCTTACACACCCACAAGCAATCTCACTCCCCAAACCACCCTCATCCCCCGGAGTAAAGGGTGCAAGGGCGCCTCAGCACCCCCAGCTGATCCCCACTCCATCCTTGCCCCCTGGGAACACCACCTGGAATGGGCCGGGCCCCTGGTTCAGGGCTGATCCAGCAGGTAGATCATCTGTGAGACACAAACCGGGTGCCTCAGCAGCCCCCAAGACACACTCTCGCCTTTCCAAGGCCAAACTGCCACCACAGTCGGGAAAAGAGGCCTCAAAATTAATAAAGATAGGTCTTGTTCCAGCTGGAATGAAGCAATTCCACTGCAGTTCGTTCGGCTCATTGCAGGCAGCAGGAGCAGGACCCACAGCGCTGCGGGTGTTGCACCCGCTCGCTCCAAGGCTGAATCAGCTTTCCTAAAAGCAAACAAGCAGGAGAGGATTGTTGGGAGAGGAAGTGGCCAAGCCTGTCCGAGGGGAGGCAGGCGCGGATTAGCAATGGGAGCGGAGGTTCCTGGAGCTCGATAAAGGATTTGCCAGGGCTGGGAACACAGAGGGAGCTCCGTCCCCTCCCCTTCACTACGTGACATCAAGTGATTTATGACCGAATTGGAGCCGACTAGTTTGGCAAAAGAGACGTGGAGAGGAGCCGGCAGAGCATCGTGGAAAAACTGCTCCTGCAAGGCGATGGGGGAAATTGTGTTATTTTAAAATTGCTAATTTATTGTACTTTGTTAAGTTGGTGCAGCAAATGGCTCTGGGAGTGCTGCCTGCTTGTGCAAGCTGCTTTTCCTGTGCTTTAATCTGTTTTTCTTTCAGTACAAGAGCCACTCCAGTTTCAGCTCCTGCTCTGTAAGTTGCATTTTCAGCATGATTAGTGGTAGGAATTTGTAAAATAAATATTTAAATAAATAGTTGTTTGTGTCTGTATTGGGTTGTGTTTTTAAAGAAAAAATCCTGGAGTAAATATTCCATCAGCTGGTAGCTAATTACAGCCATTTAGGGAACATTAATTAGGACCACTTGCAGTGAACATTGTTCAAGGAGGTTTAAATTTCATTAGTGCATTTCAGTTTGATTTTGGGTGGAGAGAAGAGGAGTTGTGGAAGCTGTTACACCTAATAAAGGGACTGACTTACTGAACCCTCTAGCTCTTCTGGACTCCTGCTCTAAGAAACCCCTCCAACTCCAAAGGGAGCAGTTCACCCTCTCAGAGTGGACACCAGAATTGGACACCAGCAGCAAGCAATCTATGGTACTGTCCCCCACCTTTGTGTTTTAGAGGTTATAGGGGATCATTTTGGTCTAATTTTTCCTGTGCTTTTTTGACAGTGCTTGATGGAGCACTTCCTCCTCCTTCTCCATACATTGCTAGGGACTGCCTTGCCAGGTATCACAATGCCATCAGTATTTCCATGTAGGCCACCAGAAGAAACTTTTGCTGTCACAGAATCATAGAATGGTTTATGTTGGAAAGGTCCCCAAAGGTCCTGTCCCACGCTCTACCACGGACAGGGACATCTCCCACCAGACCAGGTTGCTCTGAGCCCCATCCAACCTGTTCTTTTACACTTTCAGGGATGGAGCAGCCACAACCTCTGTCATTTCCTGATGGTCATTTGCTCACTGTCATTTTCAGTGAAATCACAGACCAATGCCCCTCTTCTCCTTCCCTCCAGCAGGGCCAAATTCCCAGGGAGAGCCTCCTGGAGAATCCACTGCAGCCAGGAATGTTTTTCTAGACATCCCTTGATGCACCACCGAGTTCCAGGCCTGTCACAGGACCCATGGCAACAGCCCTGGGCTCTGCCGGGTCAGGCCAGAACAGAAGGTGGTGACATCTGATAAGGAACAGATGAACTCAGGTTGCACTGTCCTCCTCCTGTGACTCCCCCTCTCCTGCCCTGCATTCCTCTGAAATAACTGGGGTTTCTCTCCTCACTCCCAAATTCGGGACTGGGGCACATCCCCTTCAGCACATCCTTTAAAGGCAGCCCTTGTGTTTTGCAGTCCAAGTGCTCTGCTACCTCAGCTCTGCTCCTGCATGTCCAGAAGCTCACCCTCGCTGCAGTCATATCCTTCCTGACACTCCTCTGCTGCACACTGAACTATGGTCCTCTCCACCTTCATCCTCTGAAGAGCTTCTCAGAGCAACACTTCCAGCTTCAACTTCCTTTCCAAGATGCCAAAATTGCACCTCACACCAGACATGGCAGCTGGTCCCTTTGTGGCACAGAGAGGGAAGGAATCAACAAGTTGTAACTGTATTTCTGGCTGTAAGCAGGAATTTCAGAGCAGCCTTTAAGGATCCCACTTGCTGTCAGCAGAGTACAGGTAGGTACAAGGGATTTTTAGAAAAGTTTGTCAGATAACAGTAGGAAGGAAGTTACTGGATAAATTTCCCAGTGATCTCAGAACTTTTTCCTCCTACACTTCATCAGGACATAGCTCTGAACAGAGATGCACTGCACAGCCCAGCCTGGTACAACACTTCCAACTGTGATGTGCCAGCACACATGAGATTGGGCTCACTGGAACAGCAAACGTCTCTCAGGTAAAATATAATTATCAGTGTTGACACATCACACTTGGACTACTTTTTATGACATATTGTCTCCTGGGAGCTGATCCCCCAGGTTTGGACTCAGCAGAGAATTGGTGGAGTGTTTTTGTTTGTTTTATGTTAGTGGATTTTTTGTTTTGAGGGGTTTTTTGTTTGTTTGTTTGTTTGGCTTTTTGGGTGGTTTTTTGTTGTTGTTGTTTTTTCAATAAGGAAAGCCAACTTCTCGGAAGGTGCTTCTGGTCAGAAAACGTCAGCTTATTTCTGTTCTTACAGGGAAAGGTTTGCTCTTCAAAGTGGCTGGAATATGTGAATAGTTCACCATTTTGTACAGGAAATTTTCTGATTCAATTAAAAATTCTAATTTCAACTTCTAAGATACTACTTCTAAAAGCTTATAAAGCCTCAAAACTAAAACAATGTAAGTTTAGAAATCAAGATTTTATTGACCTCGACTTGATTTCTCCCATCATATTACAGTTAGGGAGCAATTTCTGAGTGTTTCACATTCTGGTCCAGCAAGAGAAGAAACTATTTGGACCTCCAAGAATTCTCATGCAGGAAAACTCCTCCTTCCAGCCCACACCTGAGTGATGTATGAAACTATTCTGTTTTCCCTTTTTCTCATTAACTTTTTAAGAGCCCCTAAGCTCTGGTCCTTTCAGAGGAGCTCGTTATGAGCAACAGAGTATGCACATGGCTGACCAAATATTATCTCATCCATGGGGACAAGCCAGCTCTCTGCCAGCATCGGCTCTGCCAGATCTCTCCTGTCCACATCCTGCTCTCCAGGTCTGCCATCACCCAGTGTTAATGCCTCTGACTACATTACTGTGGTAGCTCTCCTCTTCTTGTCTCAGCCTCCCTGGATGTCAGTCATATGCTTAGTACACAGCACTTGTATCATGTTCTGAAAAACCACTCAGCTGCCACAGCCATCTTATTTCTCACTGGAGCTTGGAGCTCCCCTCCACAAGCACAGCACACTCAGCAAAACAGCAGCAAGCCCTGCCTTCCCACCACAGCTTTTCTGCTAACCCACAGGACAGATTAGACCAAAGTTGGGTAAGATTTTATAGAGATTTTAACAGAGCATATAACAAGTTCCTTCTGCCTTCAATTTTGAAAAGATAAAATGTCAGAAGTAAAGATTCTGATATTTTTAATGTGTTTTTGGTGACTTTGCTTTGTCTCTGCTTGCAAGGCTTGTGTAATACACTAACTGCATTTTCCCAAGCATTTCTGTACTGCCATAAGGTCTGGAAATCTACTGATATAAGGTACACAACAGAAGAGCTGAGAGTCCTCAGTGATACTAGGACACAGGCAGCTGGGGACTGGAGAAAAACAACAAATAGCCCGAATATTTAAAACATAAAAGCTGGCATAAGTGATCTCAAATCCAAAAATTTTATAGCACTGGGGAAAATAAAAAACAACCAAAACTCACAAGAGTACAACACTCAACAGGGTTTTGAAGATTTTAGCACCATGGATGATGTCACCTCCAGGTATCACATCCTGAAGAGGCCTACCCTTGTCTGCACAGCAGATATTGTTAGACCTAATGAGGCATGAGCTGCCAGTGAAGATTTTTCTAGGCTTGGGGCATTCAAAACATGTCCATTCAAAACATGTTGCCCTTGTATGGATTCTTGTCTACTAAGGATAGGGCTTTGCCACTCTAGGAACATTAGTAGTGTCTTTCCTCATTTTCCTTAGGGAGACAATTGATATTTGAGATTTGAGCGCCTCAAAGATAACAGGTCAATGCCTGATTCCTTCCTGAGGCCATTCCAGAATCTCCACCCTCCTACACAATGGAGTTTATCTCTGAGGTTGTTCCTGCCCCTCCCTCTCTCTATACCTTCAGGTATCCCATTAGGGAGGCTTTGATACCCAAACCCAGTAGGAAGGCATCCAGGTCACTCTGCCTTCACAGGAGCAGCAAGCCATGCCCAGAGCCCTGATCCAAGGCACTGTGTGTCCTGCTGCTGGAGGAGGAACGTGGCTGTGGGCAGGCACCTGGAATTGTGCAGCCACCTGCAACTGCACAGCTGCCGTGGCCCAGCTGAGGGGAAACAAGCATTGCAGGTAGGAAAGGAAGATCTCTGTGATCCCAAAGCACACACTGCTGGAAACGTTCGCTGGTTCTGCAAGCATTTGGAACAATGTGATCCTCCTGAAGGTGCCAGCAAGTCCTTCCCTGTCCTTGCTCACTCTTGGATTCCCAGAATATAAGAGGACTTTATTCTCAACAGGGATTGCCCCCTGCTTTTCTTTCTCCTGCATAAAATGGGCAAAACAGTGGTCAGAGACAGGATGGAGCTGAGCTGCAGGCCGTGGCACGCACCTGCAGGAGTGCAAAGAAGCGCATGGCAGCACAGAGAGGCTTGTCTCTGCCTGACCTTGGGGCAGGAGGTGCCACGTGGCAGAGCCCTGCACAGAGGAGCTGCCAGAAGCTGACAGATGGGTGAACAGCCGTGACCACCCCACAGAAGGATTTTAAGAAAGCGCGTTGCTGACGTGGTGATAAGTGATAGGTCGCTTAGTGAGAATTACCGTATAAGGAAATACTGTGTCTTGAAGAAGTCTATAAAACCATCTTGTTTCTTTGAATAAATGATTCTGATTCCTTGCCGGTCTGAGTCCGTGCCTCAGTTGTTAATGGCATCCCAAATTGGGACTTGATAGGCAACAAGTGGTTGCACCGGTAGCAACGCTCGGCTGAACTTTACAGGTGGCTGAAATGAAGCCTGGGAGCTCAAACGAAACTTGGGAGCTGAAATGAAGCTCGTGGTGCCAATCAACTTTTCTGCAAGAAAAGGTAGCAGCTGAGAACAATGGGGGATGAACAGAACGCTGCAGAGACATTAGAAGAGATTTTTAAAAAGCGTGTCAGGAAAGTTGAATCCACAGATTTGGACAAAAGACTAGGATTCAACTTTAGATAACACCAATATTTTTGACCCTCAGACATGGGACACGTTTGGGCACGCACTGTGGGACAGAGTTATGCAAGTCAATGCAGCACTGACAAAGCTTTTGTGTCCGTGGTGGACAGTGTGCAGGCACTCATGGTGCATGCGGCACCCGCAGACTGGACAATGAAGGGCACTTGTGCCACTGCAGGAGCCGTGCTGACCCCTTCTGCACTGTCAGCAAATGACCCTAAGTCTGTTGGGGCTGATGGAGGAGAACCAGGAGATGGCTTCTGGTTCCCCAACCATTTGATCCCGGAGGGGACCCTGATGGTATCCTAGAAGTGCTTGCTCTGCCCTGTGCCATCAGGTGGAGCCATGTTGTGGTGAGCAGCTGGAGCCAGGTGGGCCATTCACAGTACCTGTTCCCACTCTGTGTGCCATTCACGGTACCGTGTTCCCTCTCTGTGTGCCATTCACGGTACTGTGTTCCCTCTCTGTGTGCCATTCACGGTACTGTGTTCCCTCTCTGTGTGCCATTCACTGTACTGTGCTCTCTCTCTGTGTGCCATTCACGGTACCTGTTCCCTCTCTGTGTGCCATTCACGGTACCGTGTTCCCTCTGTGTGCCATTCACGGTACCGTGCTCCCTCTCTGTGTGCCATTCACGGTACTGTGTTCCCTCTCTGTGTGCCCTCTGCAAGAGTGTGGCAGCAGCAGCAGCAGTGGGAGGGCATGGGCAGCTGCAGGGGCACAGCGCTGTAGCCGTGGTGGTGAGCGCAAGGCGCCAAGCACATGGTGGCGGGCACATGGCAGGGCTATGCCATGCTGGCAAGCACATGGCAGGGCTGTGCCATGCTGGCGGGCACATGGCACAGCCAGGGGATGGCGGCAAACGCTGCGCTGGTGACGGAGCAGGGCTGGTGGGATGTGAGCAGCTCTCTGCATGTGGGCAGTAAGAAGGGGGCCCAAGGAGCCTGGTGGCACTGGCAGGTGCAGTGCCACATCCCTGCTCCCTGCACAAGGCGGGGGTTGCCCAGGGGGACTGGGCCGCCACCTTCTGCAGGGGTGGCTGCAAGCCTGGGATAAAGCTCCTGCTGCTGGTCTGTGAAACTGTCCTGGTTTTGTTACTCAGAATGTTGCCACAATCCTGGAGCCTATCTTAAAGACTGCTTTTTTACCACACTACCTTGTGACCCCCTGGATTGTTCTAATTGCTTTTTGTTATGGATGCTCCTGTGTTTTTAAGTATTTTTTTGCTGGTGTTAAGAACTAACTTTATAGTTTCGCTAAGCTGTAGGTTTTAACATGACTGTTAATTAGATTAAAGGTTAACTGGGTGATGGTAGTATATTTCTGGATCCAGAGAGCATTAATACATAGAGTTTTTAGGAAGGCATTTAGTTGTGAGATAATTATTTAATGTTACTTATATGCATTCTTTTGGTTACATTAATAAAGGTTTTCTTGTACATATCTTGGGGAAACCCTTCCAGTCAAGGCTTGGGCCCTGGCCTAGCCCTGGCCCTGGCTGGTTAGGGAAATATACCATCAGACCCAAGTGTTTTTGCACTAGAAATGTAATCAATTCATTTTGACTTGCTGATTTGGTCTTATAAAAGCTGGACTCCCGTTTGAGGCAAACTTAGAAACCTTGTCCAGGAAAAGTTTTCCAGGTCTTCACTGTGAAATGGGTCTCTGTGGTGGCAAACAGCAGGCCTGTATAAGGCCTTGCAGGCTGAATCCTACCTTGGTCTGACATAGGTGTGAGAAAGCTAACAGCTCTTCATGAAAACAGAAGCCTGTAATGGCAAAAACCAACTTGTTTCCCTGCAAAAGAATTCTACAGATTAGGACTGCTTTCTTGTTTCAACAATCCCAACCGTCTCAGCAAAAGAATAAAACAATATCTCACAAACAACCCTTTCTTGCACGTAGACACCTTGTTCAAGACTGACCAATTCCTATGGAGTAACAGCTTATTACTGACCAATAGGGGAGAGACATGGGAGGGTTTGTAAAACTATATAAAGGGATATATAAAATGAAGTGGTAGATTTTTTCACATCTTAAAAGAGTGTGTCTTGTCTCTCTGAAATGAGATCAACAGCAACAGGGCTCTCCAGCGATGGCAGACTGTGGGTGATGGTAAAGTATTTAGGCAGTTAAAGGTATTATCTGGCTTATTTTTGCTCAGTAGTGCTTGTTGTTTTTTAGATGCACTATTTTACTGGGTTGAAACATGTTCATGTTATAGTTGTTAAAACAAAAAAGAGGGAGTGTGGGGATGGGCTATATTCCCCACAAAGGCCTTACATGTTCTTAATTTTTACAATCACATTCAGAATGACCTAACTGCAGTCTAACAACATTTTTGTGAATCACAAGCTCACTCAGACTTACTAAGAATCTTGAAAGTAGAAAATGGGAAGGACTCTTTCCATTGATAACCTGGGGACAAAGTTATGCTTGTGTTTTCACAGATTCCAGTCCACGATGGGTACCTGCAAGAGTGATTCCACCAGCCTTGGTTGTTCTGGCTTTATCATCAGCTTGTGGGGAAGCTGAGAGAACAAGAGGAATGGAGCTTGTTTGGATTGGGTTGTGGGCCAATGTTGGAATGTTCTAATGTTGGGAGTGTTTCGTATAGTGATTCTTGTTTGTATAAAACAAAAAAGAGGGAATTGTGGTCAGAGACAGGATGGAGCTGAGCTGCAGGCCGTGGCACACACCTGCAGGAGCACATGGGAGCACAAAGAAGCGCATGGCAGCACAGAGAGGCTTGTCTCTGCCTGACCTTGGGGCAGGAGGTGCCACGTGGCAGAGCCCTGCACAGAGGAGCTGCCAGAAGCTGACAGATGGGTGAACAGCCGTGGCCACCCCACAGAAGGATTTTAAGAAAGCGCGTTGCTGACGTGGTGATGGGTGATAGGTCGCTTAGTGAGAATTACCGTATAAGGAAATACTGTGTCTTGAAGAAGTCTATAAAACCATCTTGTTTCTTTGAATAAATGATTCTGATTCCTTGCCGGTCTGAGTCTATGCCGCAGCTGTTACACATAACAACATTCTACCTTACAGGGCTTTGTAAAGCCTTATTTAGACAAACTGCTCTACGATTAGTGTAAGAGGAAAATCCAAACAACATCCTATTGTAAAGCCAGAGTTACTGCACACACTTTTTTCTAAGTATATTCAGCCTCTTTGTGAATGTCTGCAAATACATTCCAACCTTCCTAATGAGGCTCATCTCAGTAGGGAAGAAGTCACTTGCAGTTGTGGAAAAGTCAAGATTTAATTTTCTGCGTAACCTCCATTGACCTCTTCACATCCACTATTGGCACCGAATGTGGAAAAAGCTATGTGACTGTGTAATTACAGAGTGCAGTGAGGTACTCTGTAATACCAGGTACTGCTCCCCAGGTGAGGGGGATATGCAGCATGCCTTGAGCTTGGTCCCAGGAATGAAGGAGTCTGAGGGGAGATCAGGCAATTTAATCTCCAAATGAGGAAAGCCACATCCAGTGACCCCAGGGAAAGGTGGCACCTCTCTCGTTACACCTGAGCAGATCCCCTCGTGTTCCACACACAGCACAGAGGTGTGTGCCTGGCCCGTGCAACCACGGACTATCAACAGCAGCTTCCCACTTCCCAGGAGCTGAAAGTAAGTTTCATATTCCAAAGATTTGGCAATCCCCCAGAACTCCCTAACTTCCACATAACATGAAATTACAAGAGCTATGAGTGTCCTTATCCAAAGATAACCTGAATACAGCAGTCACGCTCCACCCCAAAATCAAGATGCTGATCCCATGCTATGTTTGTACTTGCAGTGAAGGCTTTTTAGGTTTAACACAGTTTAGAACAGCAGGGTCCAAATCTCACCAGGATTTTCTTCTTTCCTGGAGACTGCCAGCAGGCTGGGAGCTGCTGGCAGGTGCTGACATGTAAGACTTGCCAGTGAGCTTTGCCATCACTGCTTTCCAACTGCTGCCATTTCCTACTCATCCCACTGTGGGTCAAAGACCAAGAATAAAAGCCTTCACTGGCATGAAAACTGCCATGCCATACAATCCCTGGGCAGGAGGGAAAAGCAGAAGCACACATGGCTCAGATTCCCTTGCCTTTCCCTGCCTGTGTTCCAGCCAAGTGTCCAGGCCTGGCTCATGCTCTTCTGACTCATGCTGTATCCTATTTAGTTCAGATTAGCACTCAGGGCTGCCTACAAAGGTAATTTCCTGCAATGTGTCCCACTTTTTAAGCAACACAAGCTCCTATTCAGCCAGGCAGCCACACACAGGAACTTATGGCCTTCAGCAAGAGCTAAAAGCACAAACTCCAGAGCTTTGCTGGTTAAGCACAGAGCTGACAACTCCTTTGCTCCAGAGCACCTCACTTTGCAGAAGGGTCCTTAAAAAATTCCTCCTAATCATCATTTTCCTGGTAATTTCTGAAACA